AATAAAATAGCATTTATGATCAAACAGTGATCATAGGGGATATCATCAGTACTTTCAAGAACATGGGCTCAAGGTATGGATTAAAGTATATGTACTTGAATATCTCTGTAATGCAGTAGCTCTTATCAAATAATTTGAAGTAAACTTTGTCTACAGTGTGATTCTCCTCATCAATCATCACTTATCCTGTCGGTCTCTGTGTCCTCTATTGTGCACCGTTTGATCAAGTGGCATTGTAAATCATACAATAACAAAATAATTATTATTTTACACTGTGACTCCTGCCTGGAATAAGGTGCTTCTTTAATGTGACTGTCAGTTAGAAAATGGTTTCTTTAAATATTTTTGTCATTTTGACAATGAAATAGACAAATACAAAAGGGTGAGTAGGATCAGTCATAAAACATGATATATGCATGACATGAATAACAGCTCTGTGGTTGGTTACAGCTTCAAATTTGCTGCAAATTTTCATAAACACATTTTTTTAATGATGTGACTTTGTTAAACACAAGAAGCAGAACCTCTTAAGAAGCTCAGTGGCAGAAATAATATTTCTTGTTAGGCTGTGGGAAATTAATTTTGGGGAAATCTTTGACTACTATCTGGTATTTTCTAGACCAAATGAGAATTTGAATTGAACAAATTAATCAGGAGATGAATCAGTAATGGAAACAATCACTGGTTGTAGCCATAGTCTACAATTTTAAAACTTATTTTGTTTATTAAATAGTCCAACAGATCACACACTAAGTAAAACCAAAGCTACAAACTTCATAAGCCATCAGGGGTAGTTACTTAATGGTGTGTTTGTAAGCATGGGCAGATGCAGGGGGTGGCCAGGGGTGCCTTAAATGCAACTAACATTTTTTTCTGGTGCTTTATAATTGGTATTGGTTAAATTAGTTTTATTTTATATCATGCATGGAGAATGATAATTTCTCCAACTGTGTTGTTGTGGAGTACTTGGTATGATTCACCTCGGGGCGGGGGGAACCACTGTGCAGCAGTGATGTTCCTGGCCATGAGTAAATAAAAAGCGTAGTCAAAGTTGGCTTATGGTTTATTATTTTGTAGAATTGGGGGTTTGATTTACTATTACGTGTATTTCAAATGTGCCACCCCTATCTGTGCTAATGCCCCAGCCTGGCCACCCCTTCCAAAATTGTCTAGATCTGCTCCTGTCTTTGAGAGGTCCCTGTTTGCAGGATGAAATGGTTGTGTGTGTGACTTAATGCATTCTGTTGTGCTGGGAGGCAAAGACACTGTAAAATGAGTGAATTAGAAAAGCCTGTGTTAAGATGACAAAGCAGCAGAGCCACACACCAGTACAAGCAGTTGTCACCTCATCATTGTGACTGTTTATTGTTTTAATCCTAGTGACATCAGACACACACTTCCTGTCCCATCCTGTCCTAACCATAATTCTAATTCAGGAAAGTGACTTGGAAAAGAAAAGAGTGGGCATTACCATTAGGTGCTGGAGGTTGTTTTGTTCATTTAGCATGGAAATCACCACACAAAGACTTGATTAGCTGCAGTGTAATTGCTCATGGCCTCATGCTTATTCTTTTAGAAAATGTCCAACAAAGACATTTACTAGCAGCCTTTCAACTTTAACAAATGATACATTAGGTGTACACTCCCCAGCCATGGAGACAGGCAAGTTACAGTCTCTGGACTGTTAACTTCCTGCTTAAGATTTACTTTCTGCCAAGATTTATCAAGCTCTGGACACGCAGTCAATAAAAGGAGGCTATTTAGATAAGTGCAACCCATTATAATTACTTTAGAAGTCAGAGGGCTTAAGGTGTTACAATTGATTCAGTTGTTTTTTTTAACCGTCAAGCACATTTGCCATTTAGCTTGTGTTTATGAACAAAAGGAACAGATTTTGAAAGCAAATACGCTCCCTTTAAAGCACAAGAGTGAACATGTTTGAAAAAAAATGTTCCTAAAGCTGAACTGTGAATTATCATTTTGATAAAAGGTTTTAAAAAAGCAACCGTTTTCAGGCTAAACTGTGGTCATAGCTGTGTGTGTGTATGATGTGGAGAAGAGGGGGAAGGGCTGGCGAGCAGCCTGCAGTCAATATCATCATCATCATCATTTCATTAGACTTGCCTTACACAATGGGAACGTCAGTATCTATCAGGAAGCTAATGTGGCAGTGATTCCCAGGGGCTGGAGATATATTTGGCTCATCAGGAAACCACTGACAAGATTCATAGACATATCAGAGAGAGAAATAACACAGCTGAGATGGAAGAGGTGTGTGAGCAACCTATTGTGTGTGAGCAACCTATTGTGTGTGAGCGAAAACTCTGCCTCCACTTAAAAATATTAACAAATAAAAAACATGTCCTTTAGGGGACCAAAGTCAAGGTGGGAAGGCAACGCAGTGAGTCCTGTGAATTCAGTGGTCTTTGTTACAGTTGTAATATTCTCATGAGTTGAATCTTTTGTCTGTGTCCCCATGCTAGGTGTGAAATGGAGGGTGAACATTCCGGTGCCGACACAGACATTAAGTGTTTCACAGTCTGGTGTCCAGAGCCATCCCACCCTCCCTCCAGAGACAGAGGCTACTGCAGAAACAGACCTGCTGCAGCTCCTTTTTATTTTACTGGCCTGATCTGATCCTAATTACACTTGTAATTACAATTGATCTAGAAACTGATATATGATTGATCCCTTTAAAGAATAAATATTAATTTTATAGTCTAAATCAGCAATAGACCTATTCTTTCTATAATTTTTTTTTTACCAATACATACAACCATTACAATATAAAAAATATGATAAAATATTTTACATTCTAATGAATCACTTGACTGATGTTTTAATGACCTGATTCATTCATGTTCACAGCTACTAAACTGTAACAAACTACAGCTCCCATAGTTTGCATGTAACAACTGTACGAATCTCCAACACCTGCTTCTAAATTAACCATGTCACTATGCTTTGGCACATTTAACCTGCAATTATACTCCCATCCTCAGGAAAAAATCAATCAATCAATCAATAATAATAATAACAATAACAAAAAACACTCATTTTATATGAGACAAGAAGTCATGGGTTCTCATTTGTATTTTGGCTTATTTCTTGAACCTGTAACTCTACAGAGATACCAGGTCTGTCATGATCACTGCACTCATCCGTGAAACAAAGCAGTAGTCTGTCTGGCAGAGGATGGGAGGAGAGCCACTTAAACAGCCAGTCCCCCTTTGGCTGTGTCGAAATAAAAAGCAGCCAGGCAGAGCCTTGAAATAGGCTCCAAGGGAAAAAAATGTTAGGAGAGCACAGTCTAATGTGTTTTAAAATAAATATCTTAAAGTTGTGAGTAATGAGGGGAGTGGAGGAGTTGGCACTGGGTTCTTGTGAAATCTCAGCTGTGAGATGATCAGCCTGTAAAAAGCTTGATTGATCTGACCAGTGGCTAGTTGACACACAGATAAAGAAAAACATGCACATTTGTTGTAAATATAATATCTTATATAAAAAATATCACTGAATTATTTTACCGCATTCTTCATTTTTCTACACAGATTGAATTTATTTTGGATATATTTGTCTACCAGTACACAGAAAGCCTTCCCATCTGTTCACTGTCTGCAGCTCCTCTTTTTGTCAGTGACTGATGACCAACGAGTGTCTTTTTAACTCTGAGGCTATGTTTTGGGTCCAGCCCAGAAAACACTCTTAACATTGTCTTATCACCATGATATATATTTCAGGAAAACAAAATGTCAATTTTGAAATGATCATAATTACTTTTACACATACAGCAGTGGGGGGGTGGGGGGGTACCCCAGGCAATTAGGAAGTTAAGGCATTGACAACACATCAGTGTTGTTCACCATACATATTTATTTGTAAGGTTTAAAGGTCCTTTTTCACAAACTGCAAAACTTGTGCCTGCAGATGTTCTATATCTCGTCTTTATTAGCATGTGGATACAACAGGAATACTCTGCAACTGATAGTACAAAGTTAAAGTGCCTACGTTGGGTTTGACGAGGGACGTTTCATCCCACTAATTAAGGAATGTACACTTGTTCAGTAAATGCTATTAGAGTAGCGCACACTGCATGTCATTGACAAAGCAAAATTCTTAATGATAAATAATCCCAATTTCTCACATTGGTTTTTTCAGCATAAGTGTGCCTATAGTACGCGTGTTAGAACAAACAAAATGTTGCATATTATAGTTTTACTCCACTTAACACATTATAACACAGACAATCATATGTCCCTAGAATAAAAGCTGCTCCACGATCATGGTTTTGTGTTGTGCTTTATATCACTAACAAAGCAGCAGCAGCCAGCGTCAGTCAAACCTCCCACCTCAGGTGTCTCGACAACATTCAGTCAGTGAATCACAATGATGCGTCACAGTTACACAACATAGACTGCGCTAAAGTTACGTATTTTTATATAAACATCTGAATCCATCCATAAGGGAGAATAAGAGCCATGTTCATAAATGTAATTCAACCCTTCTTTGGTTCACAAATACACTAAAAGACTTCAGTGGTATATCAATGGTGATATAATACAGCAGATTGTCCAAATATGAACAAAGATACATTACAAATAGAACAGAAAAGCAGATAACCTATTGACATTTATAATCTCTCGATATAAATACCGTGATTAATCTACTGTATAACATACTATACTGTGTGGTTGATTTACATAGAGGATTTTCTCACAATAAAACACATTTGGCACAAAGGTAATGTAACAATACTATACACAATCTACACAAAAATCGCTAAAAACACAGCAATCGAGTACAGTATTTGTTACAGTGACTGTGTTATATGTTCCCACTTACTTAATATCAAAGCTAGGGTAGAATGTGATGGTCCATCTGGCTTGATACTTACTTATGACATGAAGCACCAATGGTCTGTACATCATACATATTTCACATTAATACTGCTTATGTCAATGCCATAAGGTTCCCTACGTTGTGCTCTGTCACTTGTAAAAACAAAAATATTTGATCTCATTCTGTTTTTAATGCTGATCTTCATATATTACATCAGTAAAATGACATTATTGTAGCTGCTATATGACAGAATCATCGGAGTGCTTAGGCATTCTTGCTCTTTCATATTTACACAAAAAAGAACCTGTGTTAATCTCATCACATTGACATTTACTAGCGCTGACATATGGTTTAGCAAGAATACCAGTGTGCTTATGTGATTCTGCCCTTTTTCCTCAGTTACCTGGTGTGCAAATCGTTAAACATATGCTGCTAAAGACAGAAGAGACACAGAAGAGACATACCGGGGACTATTATTATTTGTTGTGAGAAAAGACCTGTAAGCAAAAATCTCAGTCTTTATGAAACAAAAGGGACACAAAGCCAAGCTCAAAGTTCTCAAGAGTCAGAAAAGACTAAATGCCTAGGGGAGAAAAATGTTATAATACAGGTGTAGCTCTTACAAATCATGCCCTAGCCGCTCAATCTCCTCAATCAGGAAGTCAATGTCTGACCTGGTGGCAGCAGGGTTGGAGATGACCATGCGGAAGAAGTTGACCTTGTCCCCTTGTGGCTGGTAACCCACCATTGTAGTCCCAGACTCCATCATCAGTGCCTTGATCTTTGGGGCCACCTGTGGTGGAAAACATAGTGTTACCACCCAAACTCTGCAAAACATTATTTATTTTATGAATCCCTAAACCTAAGCAGACGCTGCACGGATCAGTGTGACGGGGCAGGGCAACTAGAAATGATGCTTAAAAGGCAGAATGATGAGTCATTACCTTGTGCAGCCTCTCCCGCCTCTCTTTACCATCAGGCAGACTGCGCAGCTTTGGTGGAATGTACCAGAAGCACACGTTGGTGTGCTGAGGCTGATAAGAGAGAATGGGAACAACATTTGAAATGAGCCCAAGTAAAAAGTGCCTTCTGTAATTTCAGCTTTTCATGTCGACATGTCAGCAATGTGAAATAATTCAATTAATCCCACAATCAAGTCAGAGAGCTGTTTTTCTGTAAGGCAGAAAAGACCGTACGACAACAGGCAGAACAGTTTGCCTTTGTTGCTGTAGCCGATCATCTGCATTACCCGGTGAATTCTGACTTACATTCATCTAAAAACTCTTTGCTCAATTGAAAGATATTTGCCGTCTGCTGAAATAATGATCTTACCTCTCCGTTAAACACCAGCTCAAAGCCCCCTCTGTTTTTTATCTTATTGTAGAGGTACATTGACAGATCCAGGCACTTGTCAATGTGCTGTTCAAATCCTACTGTTCCCTTGTAGGTAGAGTGGGAAAAAAATGGAGTCGTTACCATAACATTCTAGATATGGCAGAAAGAAAGAATGGAGAAACTAAGTAACACTTGTTATAGATAAAGGCACACCTTTGCCCTCCACATGAGCCAGAACTTAAAGATATCAACATGTCGTCCGCACTGAATGGCCTTGTCGCCCGTGTCATATGTTACATCGTACTGTTTATCTGGCTGGAAGAGGTAACCAGCGCACATAGAGTTGCAGCCTTGTAATAATCCCTGTAATGGAAACAAATGAGATAATAGATATACAGGACAGTTAAGTAGCAAATAGATTGTATGTACATGAGTTTTTGATTATTTGTGTACAGGTGCAGTGGCAATGTGTGCAGCAGGAGAATGACAAACAGCCTCACCCTCTCTCTGACCAGAATGGCAGAGCACTGCAGCGGCACCCCCATCATCTTATGAGGGTTCCAGGTGACCGAGTTGGCCCTGCACAGATATTGAAACCATGAGCACAGTTCTGTGTGTGAGTGTGTGTTCATCGAGTCAGACATGGAACAGATGTGGTAATCTAAAAAAATACACTGACATTTTCAAGTTCATTCAAATATCAGTGCATACAGTGCACATGGGTTGAAATATCTGAAGCCCTGGGAGCTCAGATTTGGGATCTGAATTTAAAGAGGAATTACTGTACAGCAATGTAGTGTTTAACTTTCACCAGGGGTTAGGGTGTCGACATAATCTGTAACCAGGGCTGGATGTAGAAGCTTTTGAACAGTGTGGCCAGGCTAGAGCACAGACTCAGAGAGGGGTGGCACATTTGAAAAATGTAAAAACTAAATGAAACCCCTGGTTTTATGAAATAAACATTTTTAAAAATCAAATTGTTTATTTTTGTTTAAAAATGAGACACATAGTGATGTCTCTAGCTAACTTTGGCTGCACTCCTTATTTACATCACTGCTGCAAATCAAATTTTGACTCTGGCAGGGGTGGCCAATCCAGTGAAACCTGTGGTCACCCCTGGCCACCCCCTGGCTCCACCCATGGCTGTAACTTCAATGTTCTGCACCAACAGGGGACCTCTGTACATGTCATTGTCCCTAAAACATTCCCCAAAATAAATCCTTATAGAAACACATGGGAATTATGTGATACACCACTGAAACTCAAATCACCAGAGCTCAACAAATCCTGCCTGTTATTCTGATATAGGTCAAACTGTTAATGCTCTATAAGACCTGGTTACCGGAGTCTATGTACTGTACATTTCCCACCTTTCCCCTTTGCACATTAGTGTTCTCACTCAAGCCAGAGATTTTACATTGAGATGATGTCACTCACATAGGCTCTGGGGAGGTTTTACAAATATAAAACCTTTATGAATTAAAAGAGTAAAAGCAATGGAGTACCCCCCAAAAAAACACACTATAATCATCATCTTTAATATGCTGATGTATTCTTTTACCTCTCCACTCCATGCAACTTGTGTCTGTGTTTCCTGGACATCAGCAAACTTCCTCCCCAAGCACCCTGCAGAGAACCCAGCACATTACAATAAGGAAGTAATGTTCTTTACAGTGTCTGTCTGCTATCTAAGGCAGTTTTTGTGCTGTTTTGTATAAATAATGTTGTATTTCTTTACAAGATTATTGATATTCTCTTACATCCACATGAAGCCACATATTGTATTTTTCACAGATGTCTGCAATTTCATTGATGGGGTCAAAGGCTCCGTAGACGGTGGTACCAGCAGTGGCATTGACAAACATTGGAACATAACCCTGCAAACCAAAAAATACACACAAAACAAGGACTGGCTACAGCTTTGCATTGAATACAAGATGTTATATTTTTTCATTCCCAGTAATTGTTTTCATCAAGACTTGGGGTGAAATACATTTCTCAAATAATGCATTCTTCCTGCCTGCTTCTATTGTTAGGGCAAAATTGCTTTTCAGGTTTTTTCTGGTTTGGACATTATTTTGCCTTTGAAGAATTATGTCCAGGAGAGGTACTTTGGTCGAGGGCAGCATCATATGTGAGCAGACAGAAGCATTAACCTTAACTGCTCTTGGACACATAAGAGTTTCCTTTGCTGCAGCTCATATGTGTTTCTTGTGTACTGGGTCACTGATAAAAGTAAATAAATATGTCAGAGGGGATGATATCTGAGTAATTTGTCACTGA